GAAAATATTAAACTAATCAAGAATAAGCAAAAATCAAGTATATTAGAACAGCTTCATTCACCGACCCAAGATATGAAACGGCAAGGGTTTCGTAACGTATGATACCAAGATCATACAATATCTACCAGACAGTGGACAAATTTTAGTAGGAAAAAATATCACAGATCAAATCATTAAGCAGATAAAAAAATTTCTTCGGAATACTAGCACATCTCTCTAAGCAAATCATGAACAAAATAACAAAACAAAGTAAAATCACAAAAACAGCTCAGTTCTGACTGGCACAATTTTTAATACTACCATTAAAATCTTGTTATCTTCTTAGACATCGTAATAAAGATGATAACAATCTTCTCAAAATGCAAGGGTACAAAAGAAGAAAACGAAAAAAGAGGAAACACAGAAAATCTGGAAGCAGTAGCAAAGATTAACTATTTGCTGTTAAAACACGTAAGACAACTTATATGAACAAAGACTAACCTTTCCTCCTGGGACATGCCAGAATGAATGCAGATAGAGGGAAAATTACACTCAACAAGCAACTTGTTCAACTCGGCTGCCCTGTTCACACTTTTGACAAAAATAACTACTTGATTGAAGTCCAATGCATCGAGGAGGTCATTCAACTTGCGGTTTTTCTCCATCTCACTCAATTTGATGTAGTGCTGCGATGTAGGTAATTTAGGCAAGGAAGAGTGAATGTCTAAATTGCTGAGAAAAAAAGTGTGATTCCCACCACATACCTGTACTAGACCATGGAGGGTCAATTTGGCCTCATCATCAACATATATTTCCATTGGCTGAAAGGAACAAATGTCACAGTAAATCATATTAGGGATCTTCCTCAAGCTAAAAAAGAACGATGGCTGGACATCGCCATGAGATTCTCGCCAATCAGCTGTCTCCTCGAAGGTTAATTATTCACAGCAAGCAAGTGCCACACTGTCACTCAACACTAACTCTCTCACACAACAGATAGACCACCGCAGAAGACAACTGCCTACCCTTCTCATTACCCAACACAAAGCCCACACCAATCCCCCATAGCACAAACGGGAACAAATGATAAACACTAGGGAAATAAATAGAAAAACTAAAAAAAAAAGAAGATGAACACCCATTGGTTCAAAACCACTCAATTACTTCCTCCACTTGCACTGAAACTCCCAGCACGTAGATTACCCAAAGCATTACTAACTAAAGCCACCATGTAGCACAACATTTATGGCAAACATCCAGGAGTTGGAACGCTGATTCTAGAGATCTACAGAACTCTGGAAGAAATCTGGCATTAATTAAAAAGATAAGAGGTCTAAATTCAAGTAGTATTGGCCATGGGACATTACATCTTGCATAAATTTCTTGCAAACCGGGCGGATTTCTTTGCTGAGAGTTGCAGAGAACATCATAACTTGTTTGTCATGGGGGGTCATCTTGAAGATTTCCTGAACATCTCTCCTCATGTCTACAGAACACATGGAAAAAATTGAATATAAGAGAAGCAAATTTAACGTGGACCAAAACAATAATAACTGATCATATTTCAATCACTATTTTAAAAGATTTGAAAACCTCACCAAGTGATTCAAGCATCTTATCACATTCATCAAGGATGAAATGCCTCACATTCTTCAAAGAAAGATCCTTTTCTCTAGCCAGGGCCAAAATTCTACCAGGCGTTCCGACAACAATGTGAGGACATTCATTTTTCAGCAAATCCTTGTGAATTTTGATATTGACTCCACCATAAAAGACTGCAACTTTGATATCAGGCAAGTAAGTACTGAACCTCTCGAACTCATGACAGATCTTCATGACAAAGAAAAGACCATAAGAATCATCAAAATGGAGAACAAAATATTCAATATTCACAAGCAAGAAAACCAATATAAAGAACTCATAATACCTACCTGGTATGCTAACTCCCTAGTATGACATAGAACAAGCGCAATGACTTGGCCTGGGGTTGGTTCAATTTGCTGTAAAGTAGACAAAACAAAAACTGCTGTCTTCCCCATCCCCGATTTAGCTTGGCAAATGACATCCATGCCCAGGATAGCTTGAGGAATGCATTCATGTTGCACTGATGAAGAACCAAAGAAAATTGCATCCAAGGAACCCTTTGTAAGTAAAATATAACCTTCCTGTTCCTTTTAATGGAACGTTATACCAAACCATAACACTGCTCCGAAATCAATAGTGTGATAATAGTATATTACCTGAAAGTAAAACCAAGATGCTAAGGTCAAAATACACATTAACTAAAATAACAACGTAAAAAAAATAGCTCCGGAAGAAATTGTTAGACATATCATGCTTTCAGCATTTTAGAAGATCGCAGCCAATTAAGTACTGGAACAAAAAAGAATTATATACTGAATTTTCACTTTAGCTATAGCCAGGTAACTATAGACATTAAAGTGAATATCTCTAGATCCAAATACTTGGAAAATAATATCTCAGAAGATTCCAAATACTTCATCATTAATTAATCTAATTAAATAGCATAATCCCAACGTTACAAATCTTCCTAGTTCAAGTTTGCACTTTCTGTGAGAAACTTCCTACTTTTCTTGTTTTATAGGGAGAGTAAAGAAATAAAAGATTAACTAAGTGAAAGCTACCAAAAAAAAAGTTATAACAGGTTACAAAAACGCTAGATCTGAACTATTAAAGTTCAGAACTATCCGAAAAAACTGCTAAACTTTTAAACGCTAACAATACATTTTAAGACCCATCAGAACATGCTACTATTAATTGAATTAACAGAACTAATACAATAAGGAAGGTCAATATCTTGCCTTCAGAAGGATGCTCAAATCCAGAGTCTACAATAGACCGAAGAAGCTCTGGTTTCAAAAGGAAGTCTCTGAATCCTGAACTGTGTATTCCAACGTAACCTCTGCAACAGCAAAGCAAGAATAAGCTTAAAAAAGATATAAAAATAAGCATTTACCTAGCTAAGATGTAACTACAAATTGAACTCCTAGCTAATTTCCTACCAAGCTAACTTCTACAAGATCTGAAATGCAATTCACTAAATATTGGTCTATTTTTATGACTTGCTCGACTTATCTCATCAAACATTGAAAACAAGAGAGTTAAAAAGTAAAAGAGAACACTCACTTCTTGGCGGCCTCCCCATTGACTTTGGAGGTGACGGAGTCGGGGGCTTTCTCTTCTTCTTCCTCATAGTCGAGAAGCTCCTCCTCGTAGGCATCGTTGTCCCTGGTTTCTCCCATATCCTACAAAAGCACAAACGGAAAAATGATAATTTAGGGTTGCCCTGTAATCAATTCGACAAATTCTAAGAGAAACAAATGTTCCATTTCAACCATTGAAGATCAAAACGACAGCTTTGCGGAAAATTTTGCAAAAGAAAAAGAAAACACAATTACGATTTTGTATTGAAAATTGGAAACGAGATACAAACAAAGACTTCATAAGAGAAATTGCAGAAGGAGATCTTAGGATTTAAGACAGAAAAAGTAACAGATAAGGAGCGAGGAGATTACCTGTGAACTGTGTTAAGCTGGATGGAGGTTTTAGGGTTAGGGTTTGGAGAGTCTGCAAAGGAAAAAGGTTAGACCTAAAAAAGAGAAGTGATTGGTGAGAGCTCGAAGAAGAGTGATAGGGTTTCTACGATTCGGGAGCTAGCGCATATAATAACAGCGAAATGCTTTGGTTTTCCCAAATTACCCTCCATGCTTGTTATTAATTACGATACAGTTGTCTTCCTCTAAAAGGCCTTGTATTAGGCCTTGTTTAATAATTTGACCCCGTGGATTTCTTTCAAGGCCGGGCTTTTCTTCACCACTGGTCCATAGCCATATATGTACGCACAATCTCTGCGTATATGTATATATAATATGCATGTCAAGGAGCCTTCTCCAAGCCCAGAAGCGTCGCAATCTAATCCTGCTGCTGAGAATTCGGTGATTGCAAAAGCCATGTACACAAATTGAATTGAATTTCAAACTCAAATTTCAGAAATGGCGTCTGTCTTAGACATAGCACCTTTGCTTCCGCTTCGAGCTTCAACGAAATCATGTTCTCTATATCTCTCTCTACTTTATGTCTCTCGATAGTTCCGGTGACATTCTCATGATTCTAAAACTGTAATGTGTTTCTCTGTAAATTCTGTGGTTAGGGACAGGGAAGTGTATAAGGAATTGTAGGAAGCAGAAGGTTTTGTGGAACCAAGATGTGTTTCAAGGCAGTTCAATTGCTAAACTTCACTACGTGGAAGCTAAGGTTAGACGTTGAAGAAAATTGCTAGACCGTAAGCTCAACCCAAAGCTAAATTCAATTTGTTCTGGTTTCGCAGGCAGCAGCAGGAAGTAGTAACCAGAATACGAAGCCAAATAGTGTAATCTGTGCTGATTGTGATGGCAATGGTAAGATGAACTCCTCAGAATTGATCCCACACCTTGTTTGATTTTCTGATTGCATAAAGTAAAAACTTACCTCGTTTTAGATGGTCACTATCAGAAAATAGAAGAAATTAAAGATGCTACAATAAAACCCTCTTACAATTTTTAATTTTCTATAACATAAATAACGAGTAATTAGCTGTAAGATGACAAGATTTATGTGAATAAACCTATTGATGACATGATTTGGAGTTTATTTAGATACATATATTTAGGTGTTTGATTTGCAGGAGCTGTTTTGTGCTCACAATGTAAAGGGAGTGGAGTCAATGCAGCCGACGTCTTCAATGGACAATTTAAAGCTGGTGACTCATGTTGGCTTTGTGGGTAAATACTGCAAATATTGTTTATTCTTCAAACTGTCTTATTATGCTTCAGTTTTCTCATTATGAATTGGCATAGTTTACATCTAGTTTTCCTGGGTCAACGACGTGCATTTTGGGTTTGAAGTAGTAGTCAGAAGCTAAGAACAAGTTCGAATATATAACATTTTAGGATCAACCTTTGTTCTTTAATGTTGCTACTTGGCATACGAAAGGTCAATTTGAGCAAAAGAGGCTAACAGGTTTGAGTTATTTCTCTTGGAGTAGCCTTGAATTGGGTGTTAATATGTTTTTATCCAGAGGCAAAAAGGAGATGTTGTGCGGGAACTGCAATGGAGCTGGCTTCATTGGTGGTTTCATGAGCACTTTTGATGAGTAGAATTTTGCCTGGTATACTGGAGGTTGAGTGTTGCGTGAATTCCCTTAAAGCACAGATGTGAATTTTACTATACGTATTCTTTTCTTTGGTGTTCGTATTCAAAACATGATAGGCTCAGTAATCTATAAGCAGTTCGTTGCTATTAAGCTACTACGAACTCAAGTACTCATTTGAGGCTGTATCATTCTAAATTTTGAAATATATCTCTGAAGTTACTAATGTTAATTTTCTCCTTTGATTATGCCACCAATTTATGTATAGAAGGGATTAAGATTGTTTTATTGTGAGTACATGTATATATTGATAGAATAGACTTCTAATTTCCATTTTCTATGGCTGCTGGAAATTAGAAGAATCGAAAAGCAAGAATATGTGTCAATATACCCATAATTTCTGCAGGCTATAGCAGCATGAATCTAGGGGCTAAAGCCATTTGAGATATGTTAATAGCTCCTCATGAACTCACTCATCTGTTCCTGGAGCAAGCAGGTTGATTCAGATTTAGGATTAAAGACATGGAACACATGTGACTCTCCTTCTGATTCCATAAGCTTGACATGTCTCACTCCCTTTTTTTGCAAAAACTCTGCATGCATAAGTCCCCTTTCCTTCAAAAAATCCAACTCAGCAACAAAAACTGCCACTGCTGGAAATTCACTCCTCCATTCCCGGACAGACACTTCCTGCATCGCAAGATTACATCCAAAGTAATCTCGGTTCGATCCTTCAGGTACACTAAGCATCCAAAACATGTCATTACTTTTCACATCTCCGGCATCCTCATCTGCCATTTCTCTCTCAGTCCTCTTTTCGCTGCCAAAATAAGGATGAATCAACATCAACCCTTTGATGTCAACACGAGGAACCTTATTCCTCATCACTTTGATAGCAACCTGGTGTGCAATGTTCCCTCCAGCACTGTCACCAGAGAGAAAAACCCGGGAGAGATCACCCTGCTTGAGCCACGGTTCAGCATTGACATGTCTGGATAGCCATTGAAGAGAGCTGTAGCAATCATCATAAGCAACAGGGAGACGATTCTCCGGTGCCAGACGATAGTCAATGGAGAAAACAATGGATTTGGATTTGACAGAGAAGTCTCCCAGAAAGTGATGGTAACCAAGCCAGGTGGTGGAGCCAACACAAAACCCACCACCATGAAAATAAACCACGATCGGCATTAGCATGTCAAGGGGCTTCTTGGTTTCCGGGAGGAAGAGTCTTGCTGTCACCAGCTTTGATGGGTCAATAACTACATCCTTTGATTTGTATCCATCAATGCTCATTTCCGGCGAGGCAGTAGCTATTTCCGGAGCAAACCGATTGACAGAACCATCTGAAAAGACTTGTAGATAGCCCGGTGCTTCTGCTACTAAAATAGACATATTCCTTCCAAATTGAAATTGTTTTGGTGAGCTTCACCTTGCATATTGAAGAAACTTTGATGGGGTTATGTAGGATCATTGAATCTACCTGTGGAATTAATTTTAAGCTTTTCTTTTAACATGTCAACTGCAACATTTGATACTTTATATCGATTGAAAATAAAAATGGAGGAGAGCCAAGATTCGTGAGGCACCTTCCAGCGAGATTAGGTAATAAAGTCAAGTTGGAGCAGAGTTGATTGGAATTTCTTGTAAACGTGAAATAACACAGGAGATCAAAACGAGGCATCAGACAAGGCTCCAACCTTGTCTTTTTACTTAGGATTCAATTGCTGCTATGGCGATTTGTTAATAATAAAAACTGTAATAAACTTTCTAATTAAAAAAAATTCGTAATTTCATGCCAAAAAAAAAAAGAAAGAAAAAAAAAATTAGAAACCAAATGAATCACATATGTGGCATTGTAATGAAATTATACTATAGATGAGAATAGAGTACTTGAGATTATTAATTCATATATTTTCACAACAAATAAATTCTATAAAATTCATACAAATTCTTAGTAAATTCATAATTTTTACTCACATTTCAAAAATAAAAATATAAATTTACAGATTAAATTCATATCAAATCTAAAATGTTTTGAGGAGAATGGTCTTCAGCCTATAAATTTCTTCAAACCAATTTTAGTTCCAAAAATATTAGTTCAGTTCCATTTGATTTAAAACAGTTTTTTTACTATCAGATTAACATAACACTTTAATTAATTTATTCCATGTGTATAAATAAAAAGATTAGATTCAATAGTTCATGTAAATATGTACACTATATCTCTCAGTCAGTATAATTTGATAATCACCCTAATCATTTATTCTTTTAGTAGAAGAAATGAAGCATGCAAGAATAAGAAAAGAAATAAGTAGAGAGTGATATATTAAATTACAACCAGATAAACATAACACTTCAATTTTAATACTCAGTCATATAACACAATTTTGTAAAAAAGTTAAAATTATCCACATTCATCAACACAGGAAAACTCCATCATTACAGGTTGTAGGATCTCAACATGAGCCTACTTGTTTGAATGTGCCAATTTATAAGACACAAAAGGAGTAGAAAAGCCTTCTTATCTTATTCCTCCTAGCATCATATTTATATATACATACATATATATATATATATATATGTTATTATAGTAGTGGAGATTTAAAAGCACATAAAAGATCCTAGTAGCTTTTACATGAGATACTGTGTTTCACATTTAAAAATATATCTATAAACGAAAGACTCTAGTAGCTTTTACATAAAAAAATTGAATTATGTCGATTAAATGATCAAATGTCATATTACACGGATCAGTTATGATTCAACAACTATTAATTTTAATTTATCACTCTACATTTCCCGATAATAACCTTACTAAAGTGCCAAATACATCCTCATATTTTTTTAAAAAAATATAAGTACCAAATACAATAGCTTAAAGAAATAAATACCATATCTATATATTTTTCTGGCTTCAATTTTTTTATTAGATCTTGAATAAAGATATAATTAATTGTGTAAATTAAGATAATTTCAAATTAATTCACAGTAACTAATTATAATAGTGATAAACTAAATTAATGTACAATCGAATAAAAAATAATAAGTAAATAATAATTCTAAAATTAAATAGACATAAGATTTTATGTGAAAACTCCTTCAGCATAAAGGAAAAAATTACGAGTGAAACTCCGAATTAAATTCACTATCAACGAAAATAAGTACAAAATAATCAAGTAAGTATTAAATCCAGAACAAAAAGAATAACATATTTTTGTTCATAACTTCGAAGAAAAAAAAAATCAAATTAACATTTCTTGAGAAAAAACGAAATAGCTTATGTCTATGGTGATGTCACCAATGAGAGAGAATGATAACATCTTTTTTTTTCTCTTGCCGACCACTCTACCACTCTACCATATATGTCTGTATATGTGTATGTATATATATATACCCTTCCTTTCTTTTTTCTCTTTCTTCTCTCTTTTTTTTTCTTCTCTCTCTTTTTCTTTCGCACAAACACTCTTTTTTTTTCTATTTTTTCTTCTCTTTTTTTTCTGTTTGATCTTGCAACACACATACATATATATATATATATATATATATGAGTTGCAGTCCTAATTCTTTTTTTTTTTAAATCACTAATTTGCCGTTTTTTCTCAATGGACCAGATCTTAACAATCTCTCCCTCCAATTTATGAGAAATATCAACTCATTTATTACTCAATTTTCACTTAATTCTTCTGTCTTGGTGCAGAATTGATGTTTGTCATAGTCAGATCAGTCTGAATATTCTTCAAAGAACTCATCTTCTCTTTTATTATATTTATCCACCGATTCTGCACTTCTTAAAAACTCTCTGGCTCCCTCTCTTCAGTAACTATAATATACTCATGAATTTTGGTCGCCACATTAGCCAGATCAATCTGAATATTTTTCAAAAAACTTATCTTCTATTTCATTGCATTTATCCACTAATTCTGTACTTATTAAACGTTCTATGACTTCCCCCTCTTCAGTAATTGTAATATACTCAAAATTTAAATATCTGGTAGATAAATGTTGTGTTCTGTTTGACCTTCTAACATGACGTTCTTCAATAATATGAGGTGGTGGAGGTTGTTTCCTCTGCTCAATATTATCATTTACATCTACTGGTACTGACACATAATCACTTTTATCTCCTTCATTACTAAAATTTCTAATTATAGGAAGAATCAACGCAGGAAAATGAATTTCTTCACTTGTAATCTTCTCAGATATCTCAAAATCTAGTAGGGTATTATGTTAATCAAATATTACATCTCTCGACTTGATAACTTTATTCTTTATTGAATCTCATAACCTGTACTCAAACTCTGTATCTCCATAACATAGAAAAACACATAAAATTGTTCTCTCATCAAGCTTTTGTCTCTGCTCCTTAGGTACATGCATAAATGTCTTGCAGCCAAAAACTTTCAAACGAGAATAACTGACATCCTTCCCAGACCATACTCTTTTAGGAATATCAAAATCTAAAGGAGCTTATGGGGATTGATTCATCAAGTAGCAGACAATGTAAAGTGTTTCACCTTAAAATAGTTTTGGTAGATTAGTCACTTTGAGCAAGCATCTGACCTTCTCTAAGATGGTTTTATTTGTTCTTTCAGCAACACCATTGTGTTGAAGAGTACTTGGAATAGTCTTTTTATGTCTGATTTCGTGCTGTAAACAGTAATTCTCAAATTCTTTTGAAATATATTCGTCACCATTGTCACTGCGAAAACACTTTAAAAGTGTTCTTTTTCTTTTTCATGGAACTGTTTGAAACACTATAGAACCTGATCTTTTTCTTTTCAAAATAAACACCTAAATTTTTTGTGAAGTATCATCAATAAATGTAACAAAATATCTATTACTACCTAATGATTCCACATCAATGAGACCACGTATATCATAATAAACTAACTCAAGTACATTCATTTTTCTTTAAAAAGAATTACTAAAAAAAATTATATGTTGCTTATCACATAAACAATCATCACAAGAGTTTAAATCCCTACCTTTAGCAGAGAAAGTGAGAGACTTCTTTGCCAAAATCTGCAATCATTTCTCACTCATATGAGCCAACCTCTTATGCTACAAATCTGGCAAAACATCTTCTTCTACTGCATTCAGAGTATTTTTAATTATCTTCACTTGAATCTTATACGGTGTATGACACAGTCTATCCCTTGTAATTATAATTAAACCTTTGATAAGTTTCTATTTTCTACCACCAAGATCCAAAGCATGTGTAGAAATCAGATTTATGCGTGAATCAGGTACATGTCGTACATTTTTCAAAGTTAATGTGCAACCAATATCTGTCTCCACACAAATATCACTAATACCTACAATATCTGCATAACTAGTATTATTCATCTTTACTTTGTCAAAGTTCTATGTTTTAAACATAGTAAAGACATTCATCCCGGGTGTCGCATGGTAGAATGTTGCTGAATCTGTAACGCCCAATAATTTTTAAATTTTTTTTTTATTATTATTAATTTTATTTTTATTTATTTTATTTTATTTAGTTTATTTTAATTAAATTTAATAAAAATAAAAATAACAATAATTGTAAAATTGGGTAAAAATATTATTTAGATTTAATTGAAATTGATTTTGGGAAAAAAGGGTGAAAATTAGGATTCTGGGGGTATTTTGAAAAGAAAATCGGAAACCGATGGTCAAAACGCAATTTAAAAAAATTGTGACCCGTCAGTGCCACGTCAGCAGCCACGTCAGCGGCCCAATCAGCAGCCCTGACCAACCAGGACCTGCCGCGTGGCAAGACCACGTCGACCCGGGAACGGGCCACGTGGGCGATCCGCGTGCGCACGATCGGACGGCCTAGATGCGTCCCCGCGCGCACGAACGGCCCAGATTAAGCGTGCGCACGAACGGCCCAGATGCAAGCGCACGGACGGCCCAGATGCACGCGCACAGACGGCTCAAATTCAATCGCGCACGGACGGCCCAGATTTAATCAAAATGGACGGCTATGATCAAAAGGCAAAAGGGTATAAAGAGAACCCCCACACCTGACCACAAAAACCCTAACCGCCTGCCCTCGCTGGAGAAGACGAACCAGACGCCGGAGGAGCCGGCCGCCGCCACCCGCCGCCGCACCAGGGAGTTTTCCGACCGCCGATCGAGGTAAATTTCATACCCCCGGCTTGTTTTTCAATGCTGAGTTTCCCTGTGGCTAAATCGGCGCCAAAATCCCGGCCAAACGGCCGAAAAACACGACCGAAACCCAGCGGCGACGCTGCGCCCCTCCTCGATTTTTGCCTCTGATGAGGCCCTTCCTGGCCTCCGTTTGATACAATTTTTATATCACCGTGATCACCATTCTTTTCTCTACAGGTTGATCGGAGCCAAATCACCAAAACACGAACCTCGCCGGAGAGCCGCCGCACCCGAGAGCATTGCTGCCAATAAGCTTCGGTTTTTCGTAATTTTTTGGCCCCCCGAGGGCCCTAGGGTTGTTTTATCGCAGGGACCAATGCAAGTGTGGCCGAATTCGGCCGAAAATGGCCAACTCGAGGCAAATCCCCGCTGCAAGCGGCGTCTTCGTCACCGGAGCACGGCGGAGCCGCCGTGCCGGAATTGCGATATTGGTCGAAAGGGGCCCTGGGTCTAATTTAGGATTTTTTGGGATACGTGTAGGTACTAGTAGTGCGTTTCAGTTTTCCGGGAAAAATTCAGAGAAAATTAGGGACAGCCTGTGGGCGCACTGTAGAGCCGTATTCGGACCCCGAAACAAGTAAGGACCCCTCACCCTATTTCCTATCACGGTATTAAAGTTCAATAAATGATAAAACGGTATTTCATGAATCAACAGATGTGTGAAATTGTTTAAGGTCGCTAATGGAGCCCAAGTCTGGGGTGTTTGTCGGTCAGCTGTTGTTTGTCCTATTTTACAGTTTTAAATGCGGTATGAGGTCTGATGTTTTCATTTCATAGTTTCGTGTGCATATTTTACTGTTTTATTGATTATGGGTTGAATGGTTGAGAACCCGATGTTGTATGTTGTCTTGTTTGACATAAATTACTGGTTTGCTTGTTTGTGTGTGAATTGATGGTGCTGACTGAGGAAAAGGGGAATGAAGGGTTATGTAAATTGATAATTGTATAATGTGGTCAGCCTGACTAGATATCCTAGGAGATGGTGGACGGACCGGGTCCGTAGGGAACCCTACCGGGATTGTGGTCTCTCATACCGGACGGGGTATGGAGACCTTATGTGTTTTGGCGCCCATACCGGACGGGGTATGGGGACGGCCCTGGAATCTGATTACAAGTGTTAAGGGTTCACGGGTAGCGGGACCCCTATGGATCCCCATGGATACTAGTAGGCTGGTAAATGAGGAAAAATATGTTGTGTAATGATTGAATTGCAAAAGGCGTTATAAGTATTATGTTATACAGTTCATATGATTTTATGATGATGATAATGTTATTGCTTTCGTATATTGTTTTATGAATTTCACCGAGATAAGTGGATAGTAAAGGTTTTTATGTTAATAAACGAGTTTATTATAAATCATGCTCCATTGGTCTTTTGTATTTTCTACCCACCTTTACTTCCGTGGCGGTGAGATAGTGTGATGTCTTTACTGGGCTGGTGTAGCTCATTCCTTATTTAATCATTTCAGATCAGGAAGACATTGTTCCCGAACCCGTTTCGCAGGAAGACGGCGAAGGGGACGCCTAAAGACTCCGTAGTTATAATTATAGCTTTTACTTTCGAGTTTCTCTCTTTTAGTTAGTTTGTTCTTTTATACTTTGAGTACGTTTTTTGTTTTAGTGTAAGGGATGTTAATCGAAATTTTTATTTCGCTTCCGCATTTGACCTTTTAATACGCATATTTCATGTTAAATTTCCGGGGCCGTTACAGAATCAATAACTCACTCAATATCAAGATCAATAACATGATCATGATCCTCAACAAAATAGAGTACAATCAATTTTGCATCATCAGTTATAGTTGTTGTGGTATTCTGATCATCTGCCTTATTCTAATTATTATGTTCTCTTTTTCAAATTCTTCAGTTTGGTTTCATATGTTATTTTTTTCCACAATAATAACAATTGAATTTGCTTTTATTATGTCATTTAGGATCTCTACTTTTTCTTCTACCTCTACTTTTTGTGACAAGGGTTTGTGAGGTATCAATGTCCATATCCTTCCTTCTGACCTCCTCATTATAAAAATTATTATTTACCATGAATGAAAACAAAACACCGTCTGGAGCAGAGTTACTAAGAAACACCACCAAAGTTTTCCAACTATCTGACAACAAACTCAAAAATAATAATGTCTGTATTTCATCATCTATGATTAATTTCATAATATTCAATTGATTTATTAGATCTTGGAATTCATTCAAGTATTCTGCTATTGACTCTCCATCTCGCAGCTTCAGATTTACTAACTTTCTGATAACAAAAACTTTATTTGGATCATTTTTTCTCTGGTACATATTCTCTAAGTTTTTCTACAAATCTTGTGCATCGACTTTTTTACTTATATAGTGATAGACACTATCGAATAGTTTCAACAGCTTTCTTGTGCATTTTCTTCCAATTATCTTCTGATTTTTCGGTTGGCTTGACAGTTTTTAATTTAATATAATCATATTGATCTCTGTAATAAGGAAGATCTTCTATATTCGTCTTTCGAATTGAATAATTTGAAGTTATCAGTTTAATCATAGTACATGCATATTCGTCTATCCTAATTTGCACAATTAATTTTATACCATAGATTAACCAGGTTCTGATACCATTTGTTGGGTCCCGAATATGAATATAATTAATTGTGTAAACTAAAATAATCTCAAATTAATTCGCAAGAACTAATAATAATAATTTTAAGCCAAATTGATACACAACCGAGTAAAAAATGATAAGCAGATAATAAATTCAAAATTAAGTAGACACAGAATTTTATGTGAAAAATCCTTCAGCATGAAGAAAAAAATAACATGTCAAAGTCAGGATCAAATCCATTATTAATAAAAATTAGGATAAGATTACCCACCAATAATTAAATTCAGAACAAAAAGAATAACATATTTTTTGTGCAAAATTTGAAAAAAAAAAAATTAAATTAAATTAACCTTCTCCAAAAAAGACGAAGTAACTAAGTTCGGTGATGATACCACCGATGAATGAGAATGACAACCTCCATTTTCTTTTTCTCTTGGCCGCCACTCTACCCCATATATATATATATATCCTACCTTTCTCTTTTCTCTTCGTTCTTTTTTTTTTTTTTCTTTTCT